AAGTAATTTTAATTGTTCGGAAAAATAAAGACAACCAAACTTTATCAGTAAGATTAACTAGTTATAATCCACCATTTTACATCCCTTAAAAAGCTATGAACTTTTATGTTTTTAAAATTTAGTTATAAGGAATGAGAGATGGTTATCTTTTATTATACAACAAAACAATAATAATAATAAATGAATTAAATGTGAGAACCTCAACCTCATTCTCAATTAAAAATAAGATAGATAAACATTTACTTTATTTTTCATATAAAAAGGTATTTACATTATCTTTCATATAAAAAACATTTATTTTATTCTTATAATATTATTTAAAATATTTCACTAAAATGAGTTTATCTATTGTTTATTTTGAAAATATAAATTAAGGGTATAATAAATATTTATATTTTTTAATTATATATAAAAACTAAAAATTAATATTTTTTTAATATTATCACTAAATAAATAACTTTAATTAATTAATTAATTAATTCAAAATCAACATCTATTACTTTTATATAAATTAATTATAAGGCACCGACTTAGAAAAACCATATAAAGAAAAGATAATGCTAAATGTTTTAAAAGTTTTTTGTCGGTTTATTATGCACGCGGAAGAAAAATCCAAAATCAAAGGTGCTTACATACCACGCTATCTTGTAACTTGTCCTCTGTTACACAAAATAAACTCAATATTTCTCATCTCATCCCAGCTATGGGGATTTTATGTTTACGAAAAGAATTTTTATGAGTTGTGTTTTTAAAATACAAATTAAGAGTATTTTTTTTATTAAAAAAATATAAAAATAAAAATATAAAAATTAATATTTATTTTAGTATTATGTAAATTTAATTAAATATTTGATAAATTATAAATTAATTTTTATTATTTTAATATAAATTTATAATAAAAAATATATTTAATATATTTTTAATTTATGCTTTTATAACTCAAGCTAAGCAAATCCTTAAAAAAAATGTTCGTGAAGTTTTATTATTTTATATTAAATATTGTTGATTAGTGGATGAGAGTGAATTTCTTAATTTTGAAGTTTTTTTAAATGTTTAATTATTGTTATTTTACAAATTATTACGTATTAGTCTCAATTTAAATAAAAATAAAATTTTATTAGAAATTAAAATTTTAATTTAAAATTAAAAATTTTAATTAATTTTAAAATATTAATATTTAATAAGTTAAATTTTTAAATTTTAAATTAAATTTTAATCAAATAAA